TGTAACGCTGGGAGTCGCTCCGATCGATGCTGTACAAACTCACCTGCCACGTCACAAGATGATTTCTGCCCCCCACCATCGATCCTCCTCCCGCCTTCCATCCACAGGAGATCATGGCTTCAGATGCTGACGGCCATCTTTTGTGTCCAGACTTCAGGCTCATCTCATTTTCAGCCTCCCCGTCTCCACAGTTCTCCTCTTTGTGGCCCAGAAATCGATCTCAGAAGGATTCCTGAACGCTTCCCCAGAATGCATCGGGAGGAGGAAGGAGTTTCAAGGATGCACAGGTGAGTATTTTTGGAAGTAAATTGTAAATTTGCACATAAAATGACAACAAATGCACTCCTATGAGCAACTGTTCTGGTGCTCCACTTCGCCTTTATGTCAAAATATCAAAAACTGGGCCCCTGTCTTGCCATATTTGCCACAAATCAAATTCTGCTGATGTTAGAGCCTCAGAAGTTGGACAAATGTCGACCAAAGACTTCATCTTTAGTTGGAAATATGACACATCCACATATATATATACGTCGAGGGCCTTTTTAGGGCCTTAATTCCCCCTTCAATTGACAATTTTGCACTTTTTTCTCCTTTAAAGGGTCAATAATTCTTTATTTTTGTCATTTTTAACAATTTTGAGTCACTTCAGACAGTTATTTACATTCTTTGGACACGTTTCTTTGACACTTTGGATATGATTCAACTCATTTTGGACAATCTTAAGTCATTCTGGACAAATTTTGAGATATTTTTAATACATTTTGAGTAATTTTGGACAGCTTGCAAGTCAAAATATCAAAAAACTGGAACATTGTCTTGCCATACTTGCCACAAATCAAGTTCTGCTGATGCTAGAGCTGCAAAAGTTGGCTAAACGTGACCAAATTTTATTTTTAGTAGGAAATATGCGTACGTTCATATATATGTACACTTACAGGAACATTCTGGGGCCTTAATACCACCTACGACTACCTATGTTGCATCTGTTTTCCCTTTTAAGGGACAATAGTTTTCATTTTGGATCATTTTAATGTCACTTAGGACAGTTTCTTGGACACTTTAAAAAAACATTTTTTTAACCTATTTTGTCATTTTTGACCAATCTCAAGACACTCTGAACACATTTTCAGACACGTTGTAGGTCTCTGGAGTCTAAATACCACCCTTGATTGAAAATTTGCACTGTTTTTTTGCATTTCAAAGGCCAATGATTATTTATTAGTATATTTTTGAACAGATTTGGATGGTATTTATCTTTTTTTTTGCGTGTATTTTCTTGTATTTTGGATAAGTTTTGACTCATTTTGGACAATTTTAAGTCACATATTGGACTTTCTTCCCATTTCAGCGGCCAATAATTATTTGTTATTATATTTTTGAACAATCTTGACTCACTTTTGACAGTCTTCATATTTTTTTGGACATATTTTCTTGCATTTTGGATAAGTTTCAACTCATTTCTGACTATTTTAAGTCAAATTTTGGAAGTTAATTGTTGGAAGATACATTCTGCATGGTGAAATCTACAGCTGACATGCAAAGTAGAGTGAAAAAGTCTGCATAGGCTATAAAAATGTAGATAGTTAAATATCTGTAATATGTGGAGCCACCATTCTTTTCTGTTTCCATAGAGGTGCAGGACTTTATATTGCGGGGGAAACTGCATGAAGAAAATGTGACAGAAACACACACAAAAAAGGCCAAGAAACTGAAAATAAAAGCCCCTCGTTTGTCTGTCGTCTGTCTCCTCCACTCTTCTTATCCTCTCACCTCTGCAGAAAAACGTCTTGACCACGTAGCCTCACACAAGTCCTTTTCCCAAGAAATCCAACACCAATCTGAAATACTGTGACACCTGAGAAACACTCCGGTCGGTGCTCCCAGCGTTTGTCCATCAGCTTCCTGCACACTTGCAGATATAAGCCCACAGAGCGCCGCTGTAGCTCCCCCTACCTGCAGCTGAGCGTTCCTCCGCAGTGACAAAGTGTTCTCCGTCTTTCATTCCCTGCAGGTATGGGCAGATGTCGGGTGTCTGTCGGCTCCGAAACCAGCTGCTCCGGATCGGCTCGTCGTGGGGTCGGTCGGCCTTCTGTCACAGCTGCTCTCAGCCTCCAGGTTTGTCAGACGCAAAACATACGCAGAAAAAAACCTCTTTAGAAAGTCCAAGATTGAATGTAAGTACCTCGAAGCTCTTAAAAACGACTGTAAAATCTGCAATTCTAATGGTTTGGCAGGAATTAGATCATTTTACAAGCAAAAATGCTCATCAGGCATCAGTGGAGCTCCTCCGTGTCGACTCGTAATACTTCTGGTTTGTACATTTTCACTAGAAACACCAGAGTAAGAGTCTCTATTATCCTCAGTTGCTCTAGTGTCTGACAGTGTTTCCGGGATTTGGTTCCTCCAAGTGTCCATCAGCAGCTCTTGCAGCTTGAAGGCTTCCTCTCCATCACTCTGCTCTTCAGCTCCTCCACAGGTTCTGGATGGATTCAGGTCTGGACTCTGGCTGGGCCGCTCCAACATCTCCTCATTGTTACCTCTTCACCACTTTGGCTGTCTGCTCCTCGGGCAGCGTCGGAGAACAGCTGATGTAGTAGTTCTCTAGTCAGTCAGGAGCTCAATGAGGACCTTCAGTTGCACATTTTTGCTGCTCACAAGATGTTTAAAGGCTATGAAGTCAAGGTCCAGCGTTCACAGTTTGAAGCTCCATGAAGAAGTCCAAGAAGTTCCTCACTGTGAACATGTCAAAAGGCTGCAGGAGGACAGACGTGAGCCCTGCACTGGAACAATGGTGGAGGCCAAGAAGAACCCAAGGACCAGCACCAAGAGCATCCTGATGAATGTGAGCAGTTCTGGTAGCAACATGTCAATCAGACACTCCAGCAGACCAACAACAAAGCTGGTCTCCATGGAGACAAGGAGGATCCACTTCTCCAGGACGGAGAAGAAAGCTGCTGCTCATCACTTCATGAACAAAGAGAAAGGAGAAGCATTTTCTCAAACGCTCAATTGATTTCATGGGTATTAATAACTTTGGAATTGTTGTTTTCATGATAGAAATGTTAAAATAATCTCTAACGTGGTGGCTTGCTGTGTTTTGTCGCTTGTTTATGTCATTTCCAGCCAGAAAAGAACCTATTAGCCAAATATAAATCCAAATTTGACACGGCTATGGAGAACTTGGGGTTTGGCTACAACGCCTCCCAAAGAGCAAAGAAGTGCTTTCAGGTAGAAGACAGATATCGGTTCATTTCATGTCTGACAGGTTTTCGGTTTTCATGTTTGGACACAAACACACGGTTCATTTCAGAAGCTCAGACAACCTTTTCTGTATCAGTCTGTCACCAGCAGCTTGTTCGCTCGCCGTTCAGGCCTCGTCTCATCTCCACCGGTGTAATTACTTCCAGCAAGAAACACATCAAAACACTCGGTGACCTTCTGACAGCCGCGTGTCCACTGGTCAGACTCACAGCTTCTCCTGTCAATATATATTTATTTATATATCTGCTTAGACATTAACAGGAAGAAAACGCAGACTGTTGGGATGGTTCAGGAAACACTTTTTAGTGCCTCGACTTTAATTTCACTTTCATATTTGCTGGATACAGACAAATTTTGATCTTGAAGTTTTATTTGAGCAACAGTTTTTTATTTTTTCTGTCTGGAAATGACATAAACAAGTTTCAAAACACAGTAAGATGTCGTGTTAGAGATATTTGTGATGAATTTTAGCCATATTTGGTTGGTTTCTTCGACTAAAATATGTCCAAAACTATTGGAAATCGTCACAAATGTGCATCAAAAAGGCCACGTTCAGTTAGAAACACACATTTCTGCTGCAGTTTAACAGAGGTCATGATATCACATGAACAGATTTGCAACAGGATTTTATGTTATTTAAGAATCGGAAACGAAAACCTGTACATGAAATATTCAAAGTAGCTGCTCTCTGTGTTTCTAGTGTGATGTAAACTGCAATGTATAATAATATTGTCCTAAAGTGGCCTTCAAAGTGTGTTAACAGTGCAATAAAACTGGTGTTTCTGCTTCTTTAGATGTCAGATTTTCTGATCAAAACATCACAATAAGAGGAAAGTAGTCTGGCCTAGCACACTTTTGCATATCTATGCCCCAAAAGTTTTCATCTCTAAGCCAAACTTTGATTTAAAGTACATTTTTATTTGACCAATAGGTTATTTCTGGCTGAAAATACAACCGAAAGACAGCAAGACATTGTGTTAATCATGAAATTTTCCATTTTTATTATCAAACGTCATGTCCAAAATTAAATTATTCATACCCTTGAAATTATCTCAAATTTTGAGAAAATGCAGCCTCTATACCTTTTAAATTGTTCTAGAGCTGTGTGGTGGTGAGTTTTGTGGTGGAAAAATGTTAAAATTCTGCCAATGTGTTCCAAATATGTTGAGAACATGGACGGCAAAAGAAAGTACTTCATCAATGTATAAAAGTGTGTCATCAGTGTACGTGGAGACCATCTATTGCCAATGAGAGAAATATCTAACAGCATTTATGCTCCTTTAAATTCTTACTAGGTTTAGGGAAAATGCAGCTTCTTTATTCTTTATTAATGTATAAAAATATGTCATCGGCGTACGTGGAAACCATCTATAGCCAATGACAGAAATGTCTAAAAGTATTTATACTACTTATAATAATTATAATATACTTATACTTATTTATTGAATTTCCCTTCTCGGATAAATAAAGTATTTTTCATTTCATTTCATAATTGTTGCTAGTTTTTGGAAAAATGCAGCTTCTTTATCATTCCAGATGTTCTAGTGTTCTAAAACAATATAAACCCAGAACATCTGACGCATTAGTTCACCAGTCAGAGGAGTAATTTGAGGCTTAAACTATAAGTTAGGCAGCTGTATGAACATATTCTGTTCATCCCAGGCAACACAATAATTCATAAATGTGAATAAAAACTCTGGATTAAATGAGTTTATCAATAATCAGGAGGGACACCAGAATCACATCCATGTTTACTATGATTTTATTTGGAATTAGTGTCCAATATACAAGCAAGACAAGAAATAAAACACCATAGCAACATCAAAGTTACCATTAAATCATCACTCCGTCCCCTGATTTAAGTTGTCTTTATCAGTGTGCAACTCAACGCAATCACACAGAACCACAACAGAAGCTGTAGGCAACGATCGGAAATTATTTCTCCTCCCAAGAATTTAAAAGCACATTATTTCTACAGGAAATTCGCAAGAAAACACAAATGCACTGTACTGTTTGTCATTTAAATGTCACAAAATAGTTCTTTTTCAGAAGCAAACGGTGACTTTTCCCTGAATTGACCCTCCTTCAGACCGAGGGGGAATCCTGACATCATCATTAGTACGTACAGCGCTGTGCTGTCGACTCCGCAGATATACTGTGAACGTCTGGATGTGTTCGCAGCTCTAATGCGCGTTAATCAATATTCAATTATGCAGAGTGCTGCTGTTACATAGTAAAACTCGGCTCTTTGATGTAATTTGCGATTCACAACTCTTTCCCCGCAGCTGGTCGAGTGTTTTCAAAAAGGGAATTTGCATAAATCTCTGACCCTCACCTCTCTGTAAATGTGCACTCAGTCGATGAAGGGGCGACGGAAACCTTCTTAACCTACAAGCGTTTCATCTTTAAAAAGGGGTCAAACGTCTTTTACTGGCGTTCAAAGGACCCTCTAAGAGACAAACTGGATGACAAACATGTAAGATTTCATTAAAAGAACACATTTATTTGGAATTATCAACAGATGCGGGGCGTCGAGCAGCCCGGTCATTCCTCTGTGTGCGTGTTCTGGAGACGGACGAGCTGTTATGATTGGTTCGGTTTGCTCGTCCGTCAGTTCATGGCAGTGACGCTTGATGTCCATCAAAGCTTTTCCTCCTAAAATGCATCCGACCACGTCCGGTCCAACTAGTGCTGTTTCCTCCTGAATGAGCATCCTGGATGAAAAGAGAGAGAAACTCCAGTTCAGTTGAGACGTAACGACATTTTTCAAAGCATCCATAGCTGTTACTAACACTAGGTAAAAAATGGAGGCTCCACATGTTCTACATATTTAACTATCTCCATGTTTACAGCCTCTACGATCTTCTTACTCTGCTCATCAGCTGTAGAAACACGTTTCCCCATGCTGAATGTATCGCCCTCCTCTGTTCCCTGTTTCTGAGCCACGCTGCATTTTATTTTATGTTCCTCTCTGCAGTTCAACCAGAAACTCCCATGACTGTTTTTCGTAGCTGAGTCACTGATGACTTGTTGGTTAAACTGACAAGTGCAGCATTTTTTGTTTTTTATAGAATGCAGTTAAAGCAAATGCCTTGTTGTACTTTTTTTTTTTAAATGACGCATGTAAATAATTTATTTTGTATAGCGCTTTTCTAGATACTTAAAGTCATTTTACAGGGTTCAAGATAAAAACAGAAACAAACAAGTGGAATAAAAAGGAGATTAAAATAAAAACAAGGTACAGAAAGCAGGTATAAAGTTAGATTTGGTTGTTTTTCCTGATGAAACCTAAAATCAAACATTATAAATGTTAGTACTGTCAAAGTTCTGTCGATTTTTTTTTCAGTTTCTGGCTCCGACACATGGTGCAATTTCATTTTTTGTTAATAAAACAACTTTTGATACGACTGTCGGTCACAGCTGAGTCACTAACAGTGCAGAACTTTTAGGGTTTTTTTTTTTTACAGAAACTGTTTATTTTTAAATTAAATATGTAGAAAATGGCGATTTTGTTGAAACATCCCAATTTTAAACTTAGATTTTGTAAAATTTCCTCATGAAACTGCACGGTAGAGTAATTAATAATTAAAATCTGATGCTTCTATTCTGATAAATGGTGTAATTTTATTTTATTTTTTTATGTCTTGTCAAACCTGCTTCAGAGGGTTAAACGTGCAAATATTCACACTGCAGATGTGTCACTGAATTTCCAGCTTTCCATTCGTGTGTCTGAGTGTTATGTCTGTTTAATCAGGACATTCGTAATGGATTTATAGAAAACAAATGCATCAACGTGTTTGCACAAGCTTGAACCCGACTAAAGTCTCCACCTGTTGAACCGGCCGAACCAGAGTCCTGCAAAAAAAAAGTCTAGATTTACTGTTTTCTAGCCAGCTCAGCAGGCTAAAGCAGAAAATCAACACGACTGAATTAAGAGGCAACAAAACCTGTTTTTAAAAAAAATCTAGACGACTAAAATATTATGTAATCTTAACATAACCTAGTACGGTTTATATTTGTATGCACACACACACTATACAAAACATGTGCATCTAACTAAAGTTAAACTGAAGCATCTGGTAACATCAGCTTTTATGATCAAGTTCTGCTACAGACTTGAAAATGACCAGAAACAATCAGCACTTGATGCAACTCAGAGTGTTGTAAATAACGTTCATCTACTCATTTATTTCCAGGTGCAATATTACTTATTGCAATTGCCAGTATTACTTTTTATTTACTATTTTTTTCTTCTATTCTAGTGGCAGTTTAGCTTATTATGAATAGAATAGAATTGCTTTTGTTGTCATTGCAAGAAAATCTAGCAGCAATAAAGTCAGTACATTCACAAAATCAGACATTTTTTTAAAAGCACAATAAAAAAAATATGCAAATATAGAATATGACATCTATTTTGAAAGTTAAAAAGAAAGTATGTCCAAGTGTATCTATGAAAACAGTGCAACAGCTTGTTAATATTATACATTATGATTATATTTTCTTTATTTTTTATTTTCTATACATCCTAATTTTTACATGCTATGTTTGCACTATTCTTTTTGTTTATTTTTATCCTGACATTTGCACTATTTCTTGTATGTAGATTTTTCTTTCTAGTATGCGTGTATCTCTGTGTGTACTGCTGCTGACAACACTGAATTTCTCCACTGCGAGATATCTTATCTTATCTTATTAGGAATTGTATAAACCGTAGTGTAACGCATGCTAATCCTAAATACACAAATACATGGTCATTTTAGTCATCTATTAATGTTTGTAAATCTTATTGATTTTCTGGTATTTGATGCATTTATTCTCATGTTATTGTCATTTTTTTATTTCTGAGGCTGAGAATAAACTTTAAAGCTCCACTACTATATATTTACATCATCTACGTTACAACCCTCGCAGAAACACCTGGAAGTAGAATCTGATGTTTACTTTGGATCAGCAGGTCGATGTGACGGTGACTCACCGACGAGCAGATAAGAGAAATGCTAAACTCCACGTAGCCATCTGCCTTTTCCAAAGACTGAATCACTTCCAAACAAGTGCCAAGGGTCGCAGCTGCGCCCATAGTAACCGAGAGAAGCCCTCGGTTGCCACGGCACCCGAGTCAAAGGATGGAGTGGGAGGCGGTAAACACGAACCTTGACCTCACTACATTACGCACAGTATAGAGAGAGTAGTAATTCCTTCTCTTTTTTTTTTATTTTTTCTTTGATGTGCTCTGACTGTTTTTTTCTCGCCTCAGATGGAAGCGATTATCCAAAAGCCATTAGCTGCTCCACAGGTGAACACATCTGTGCTTGCGGTCGATCGTGTGGAAACTGATCAGCGCCGATGAATTCCCGTCACGACCGCAAGAGTCGCTGTACGCCTCGGTCGACACCCCGCTCACCACGAGCTCGACGAGAGGGCAACACAGAGGCGAGCGGCCCGGTCAGGTTAGCGAACCCAGACTCGCAGATTACTGCGTCAGCCTCGGGGCGGCTACCGTGTTTTCCAAACGTAATTATATTAATAGATTTCTGGTCCTCGCAGCTGCCGCGGCCACTTTAACCTGCAGGCGGCCTTGGGGCAAAATAACAGCTGCCCATCTACCAATGAGAAGCCCCGCGTGGTGAAAATCTATTTTTATTGAGTTTGTTTGTCGGTTATAAGTGCAAAAACAAAAATATGAACACGCTCGCTTCTGTTTATACCCATCGACTTTTACCGATGAGTTGATTTATCGAAACGACTAATTCAAGATTCATTTAAGTGAAAACAAACTGTTTTACTGTATGAAGCAGCTCCGCATGAAACGGAAACAAAGGTTTACACGTTAAGAGCAAAACTGGAGAGTTTAAACCATTAACGTATGTTAATCTTAGAATTGTGTTTCTATCGATTGATCTATCGACTATTTTACAGACTAGTCGATGAATTTAAGTGACTATTTTTGCTCCAAAAAAAAGAAAAAAATACCATCAAAACTGTGTTTTCCAAGTCAATCTGGACACTTCTGTTGTGTGCATGAAGACTCTTGTGTTCACTCTGGCAGCCAACAGCAGAACATTTGTTAGCTTTGCTCGTGGACGAGACGTTTTAGACTTTTCTAGTCAATCTGTACACATTTTGAGTATTTCTGTACATGTTTCGAGTCATTTTGGCCAAATTTTGAGTCACCTTGAAGTCACTTCGACTAATTTTGGACAAATCTAAGTGCATGAAGACTTTTGTGTTCACTCCTGCATCCAACAGCAGAACATTTTCTGATATTAGCTCGTGCATGAGACATATTTGAGTTTTCAAGTTAATTTAAACAACTTTTGAGTCATTTTGGACAAGGTTTGAGTTATTCTGAGCACATGTAGAGTTATTTTGGAGAAGTCTAGAATCAAATTTAAGTGCTTTAAGACTTGTGTGTTCACTCTTGCAGCCAACAGCAGAACATTTATTGGCTTTGCTTGTGAATGAGATATTTTAGAGTTTCCAAGTCCATCTGTACACATTTTGAGTCATTTTGGACAAATTGAGTCATTTCAGCCGAGCTCTGAGTCACTTTGAACACATTTTGACTACGTCTGGACTAATTTGAGTGCATTAAGACTCTCATGTTCACTCTTACAGCCAACAGCAGAACCTTCTGTAGTTTGCTTGTAGAGACATTTTGGAGTTTTTTTTAAAAGTCAAACTGTATTTTGCACATTTTGAGTTCTAGTGCATGAAGATTCTCATGTTAACTCCTGCAGCCAACAGCAGAACATTTTGTGATGTTTGCTGAAGTCATTTTGGACAAATTTTGAGTAAATTTGAATAAATCTCGAGTTATTTTAGACAAGTTTGAGTGCATGAAGACTCTTGTGTTCACTCTTGCATCCAACAGCAGAACATTTGGTGATATTTGAACATGGATGAGACATTTTTGAGTTAATTCAAACAGACTTTGAGTTGTTTTGGACAAGTCTAGAGTCAAGATTGATTGGATGAAGGACTTGCTGGCACCAGCAGAACATTTGGGGATCTTTTTGGTTGTTGATGAGACATTTTAGAGTTCAAGTCAATTTGTACAAACTAATTTTGGACGAGTTTAGACACGTTAAGACTTTCGTGTTCACTCTTGCATCCCACAGCACAACATTTGGTAAAATTTTGATTCACTTCAGACAAGTTCTGAGTTATTTTGAGCACATTTTGATATTTTTTTTTTTTTTTTAACAAGTTTAGAGTCAAGTTTGATTGGATAAAGACTTTCAGGCAGCAGCAGAACATTTGCTCTCTTTGCTTGTGGCTCAGACACTTTAGAGTTTAGCAGAAGCGGCTCTACAAAGTAAATGAACCTGATGAGGCAGCTGCTCTTTCTAACTGGTTCACCTGGAGGCAGTGAGGGGGCGGGATTATGCAAATCTGGCAGGTTCAGTGTGGTGAATAGACAGGGACGGAGGTTAAGGCTCATGCAGACATGTGCTTTTATATAAACCCAGTTAATAAAACAGAACCACCGACATGAACATGCATAACGCTCCTGCACACAAATAGACGGTGGAAAATTCCCTGTTCAGTGAGACCCATCTGCAGCGTGAAGCGTCTTCATGTGGGTGTGCGATGCTGCTGATGCTGCTGCTGCTGCATGTGTATTTAAAGCGAGCAGAGCTGCTCTTTGTGTACCTTCTGTCAGGCGAGCTTTGCCTCCCGTCGGCTGGCAGAGGACCGTGGAGCAGCCGACGCACAACACGACGGTCTGAGCGTGACTGAACACGGTGGTGATCTTGTAGCAACCTGCGAAACCAACAGACATTCGATGAGACAACCGTGAAGCCGCGGCACGGAAAAAGACAACCGCCGGCTGCCAAACAACGATTATACAATTACTCCTGGCCGCCGCCACCGTGTCCTTGCAGCTGTTTGTGTAAAAGGAGTCGGTTGAAACTCGCTTCACAGACAACCACAACCGTCACTGTTTGCCTTATTCGACACCCCAAACATGACGGAAGCAATGAAAGGGCAACACATAAAGGCAAGGGTCCGTACATGTGGTAAAAACAACACTTTACTGAAGACCAAATGGTTAAAATCATTATTTCAATTATAAAAAAACATATTTAAATACTATAAAATAGAAGCGCTTCACCCTAAATTATAAATAAGGCTCCTATAGTAGCATAAATTTAGCACCTTACAGTTAGCATTTACACTTTTATTCTTCATGTTTTGAGTGCATTAAGACTTTTGTGTTCACTTCTGCAGCGAAAATTTGGGGATCTTCGCTCATGAATGAATTTTTTAAAGTAAATTTTGACAAATTCTGAGTAATTATACACAATTTTTAAGTCATTTTAAACACATCTATTAATTTTGGACAAGTTTCAAGTCATTTTTAAAAAGTTTAAGTGCATGAAGACTGTTGTGTTCACTCTTACAGCCAACACCAGAACAATGGATGAGACATTTTGGAGTTTAAGTCAATATGCACAACTTTTGACAAATTTTGAACAAATTCTGAGTCACTGTGGACCAATGTTAACTAATTCTGGACAAATTTTGTGCCATTTTGAAAGACGGCAGTCCATTAAGGCAAACTGTACGGTACACACGGGAAAACAACACTTTTTCAAGATTTAATAATTAAAATCAAAATTTAAATTGTAAAAAAAACATACTCAAATACTACAAAATAAAAGCACCCTACATTATTAAAAAAAAAAAAAAAGTCTCCTACTGAAGTATAAACACAGCACTGTACAGTTAGCATTCACACTTTTCCTCTCGTCTCTATGAGCCATATTTAATATAAAGGTGAAGGTCTGGGCTCATAAACAAACTGACCTGGACATTTGACGTCCATGAAGTAGGAGTTAGGACACTGAACCAGACGTTTCTTCTTGTGTCTCCTCTTCTCCTCCTCAGGACTCGGGTGTAAAAGATCTTTTGCGAGCTGAAAGGTAAAAACACAAACAAGGGTTCAGTTAAACATTAACACAAATGTAATCTGGAGAATGTTATCTGTCTGTTAGTTGTTCGGTATAAAAATGTCAGAAAAAGGTGAAAAACTGTCGCTCAGCGTTTCCTCAAATGTCTCGTTTTGTCTCAAGACCTTCAGTTTACTCTGGAAAAACAGGAAAATATTCACATTTAAGAAGGTGGAATCAAAGAAATTAGACTTTTATTCTCAAAAAAAAATCTAAAATTGTTGATTTTTCTTGGCTTAGTTGCTGACAAATGATTGGTTGACCGCTCAAACTCTGTTACAGACATAGTTTAAGATGTCTGTTTGAGATGTTTGGCCTGTTTTGGACAGTTTTTAAACCGACTTACAGGAAAAATGTTGTTGGTTTTATCAGAAAACAGGAGTAGAGTTTGGGAATCGTTACACAAAATGACTGTAATTGCGTTTATTTATTACAGAAGTGCTTTATAGATGTTGAGAAATAATATTTAGGGAGTGTATTAATTTAAAATCAGATTAAAAATAAGTTTAAGTGGTTCTTAGTTCAGTTAGAGGAAAGTGGTGACTAATATTTTGTTGATTTTCTGGATTAATTGATCTGTTGTTTGGTCTCTAAAATGGCAAAACATCTTAACTCGTGAACCCTAATCCAAACATAACACACACATTGGACAATATTGCAGATGTTCCTCGATGAAATGGAGACACAAATACGGAGCTTTTCATTCACGTTAACAGTCGTTTACACGCAAATCTGTCGACAGAAAGTCAGAAAATATCCTAATTTCCCCCAAAATATAACAAATGCTGTCTCTAAAACACGTACAAAAAAGTTTTATAAAGACAAGAAACTACAACCTGAAATAATTCCTCAGTTTGTTCTTTTAAGCACCACACAGATTTAAACCTACATGACTTAAAGTAAACACCCCAAATATTAGAATACAAATCCACCTGCTTCGGTTAATTATTGAGACGTCGTGTCCTTGCAGCTGTTTGTGTAAAAGGAGTCGGTTGAAACTCGCTTCACAGACAACCACAACCGTCACTGTTTGCCTTATTCGACACCCCAAACATGACGGAAGCAATGAAAGGGCAACACATAAAGGCAAGGGTCCATACATGTAGTAAAAACAACACTTTACTGAAGACCAAATGGTTAAAATCATTATTTAAATTATAAAAAAACATATTCAAATACTACAAAATAGAAGCGCTTCACCCTAAATTATAAATAAGTCTCCTATAGTAGTAGAAATGTAGCACCTTACAGTTAGCTTTTACACTTTTCTTTTTCACGTTGGAGTGCATAAAGACTCCTGCAGCCAATATTTAGTGATCTTGGCTCAAGGATGAGACATTTTTCAAGTCAATTTGGACAAATTTTAAGTCATTTTGAGCACACTGACTAGTTTTGGATGAGTTTCAAGTCAACGTGGTTTGAGTGCACGAAGACTTTTGTGTTCACTCTTGCAGCCAACAGCAGAACATTTAGTGGCTTTTCCAATATCAGTCAATTTGGACAAATTCTGACTAATGTTGGATAAATTTGAACTAACTTTGGACAAAATTTGGGTCTTTGTGGACAACTTCTGACTCGTTTTGAAAGAAAGCAACACTTCAAGGCTAAATGTGCTGTAAAAGTGGGAAGAAATAGATATTAAATGATTAAAATCACAATTTAAATAATAAAAAACACAAAATAAACACTAAAAATCAAAGCACTACAACATGAATAAATCTTCTGAGACGTTAAATGTTCCTCCAGAACCACATAGATTTCAACAGGGTTCCTTGAGATTGTCCTAATTCTAAAAAAAGCAGAGTATGATATTATAGAAATACACTTAAAATAAGTATGAAGGTTTCTACAATACTATTGAACACATGTACCTGCCTGACTGAGTTCAACGTAATATTTAGGAGCCAGAAGTGTTTTTTTTTTTTTACACAAGTTTAAGTTAAATATTAAGGTTTAAACCCACAATATTGTAGATTATAAACCAACCAAATCACCTCAGTAGCAAAAGGATTTACAACAGACAACCAAAGGTTAGGGTTTAACTGCAGTTTCCAGATGAAGAAAAGAAAGTAAAACTGCTGAGGAGGATCTTTATAGAAGCAGCTGTAGAAGATAAACTGGATTTTCTGGTAAAGTTGAGTTTTTATTCTCCAAAAATCAAACTAAACGGATCAAAAAATGAGAATGTTTAACCTTACGGTTCAGTTATTTAACCACAAAGTTGATAAAGGCATAATAAACGCATTTCACTGCGTCCTGGGGGGAGAATCCACCTCGTGGCTGCGCTGCTCCACGTGCGTCGCCATATTGCGTCTGCTCGCATTTTACGCATTTAAATCACAAAAACACCAAAACCGCGGAGTGAGACGCGAACTAAACAGAATATCACACCGACTCGCACGGTTCCCGGTGGGTGCGGACACCGTTCACCGGCCGATGGAGACGGTAAAGACGGTAACGTTACTTACAGGCATGTCTGCGTGTCTGGACTCTGAGCGGATGATCAGCTGCTGCGCCCCGGATACGGATGTAGGAAGATCCGGAGGAGGAACCAGAGCGGCGCTGCGTGGTGACGGTGTGAGTTTGGAGGGAAAAATACCAGGAAACTTTCAACTAATGTAACACAAAATACAGTTAAACCCAGATGATGCAGGTAAAATGTACATTTACAGGTTTATTTTGGATGGAAATGACGCACACAGGCCATAAAACACAATAAGAATTCATGTTAGACTTGTTAATGAGTATTTTTGAACTATTTAATCTGTTTTCTTTACATTTTAACTAAAGGATGCATGTCTAGAAGTAGTTATAATCCTTGAAATTGGTGCAAATTATGAGGAAAATGCAGCTTTTATCTCATTTCTGCTCATTTGCACCATGTTGTGGTTGGTTTTAGGTCCAACTTATTCATCTGCACACTAGATTTATTTATTTATATTGAATTTTTATTTGACCAACAGGGTCATTTTGACTGGAAATGACGCACACAGGCCATAAAACACAGTAAGAATTTATGTTAATGAGGATTTTTTAACAATTTAATCTGTTTTCTGAACATTTTAACTAAAAGATTCATGTCCAGAACCATTTACAATCCTTGAAATTGGTGCAAATTATGAGGAAAATGCAGCTTTTCTCTCATTCCTGCTCATTTCCATCAGTTGGTCTTAGGCCAAACTTTATCACCTGCACACAGAATTTATATTTATATTGAATTTTTATCTGACTAACAGACTTCTTGTGGCTAAAAACGACATAAACATGAGACAAAACAAAGTAAGACGTTGTGTTTGAAATGTTAAAGATAAATTTTTAACTATTTCTATGTATTTATTTTACATTTTTACCTTTCAATCTGTAGTCCAGACTTGAATCTATCCACCAGGACCTTTAGGAGGAATGATTTGGGGCCTTTTCAGTAAAAACAAAACAGAAATAGTTCAGATTCATCATTAACATCTGCAGCACACGTCTGCTGTCACTAGTTTATGTCTATTTCAGACTGATGGTCAAACAAACATTCACTTTAAATCAGAATTTAACATAAGGATGAAACATTTTGGTGTTTAAAAATGCAAAAGTGTGAACACAAGGCTTTACTTTAACTCTTATCGCCATGTTTTGAACATCTAAAGCAGCAAAACCAGCAGATTCGCTGCATTAACGGGACAATATAGTGTTTAAATCACATTAGAACAACAGAAAACAGGAAGGTTTAATGGGCCTTAGAATGTTTTATCTACACGCTTTTATTACTAATTGTTAAATAACATAAAATCTTTTAAAATATATATATTTTCATGTGATATTATGACCTCTGTGAAGCTGCAAAGAGACGTTTTAGTGCACATTTGTGACCATTTCAGGGGTATGAATAATTTTGGACAAGGTATTTATGTAAAATTGTAAAGAAACAACAACATAAAAATAGTTGAAATTCATCGATAACGTATCTAACGCTACGTCTTACTGTGTTTTGTCTCTTGTTTGTGTCGTTTCCAGCCACAGCTGCTCAAATAAAACGTTGCTGTAAATCAAAATTTGGCATAAAGGTGAAGAACGTTTAGATAAAATCACACTTAAATAAACGTAATTCTAGTTTATGGTGAAGTTTTATGTGACCCACAGGTTCAAACTGACATAAACAAGAAACAAAAGACAGTAAAACATTCTGTTTAGATGTTAGTGAAGAATTTTAACTACTTATATGTATTTATTTTATTTTTTTTCATTTTTCTTTTACTTTGAAATCGTCGCCCAGCCAGAGTCCGTACCTGATTTCCCATTTGGAATCTGTAGGGGAACTAAAATAGGAATGATTTTGGACATTTTTAACAAAAACAAAACATCAAAAATAGTTAAAATTTATCATGAACATCTTTAGCATGACGTCTTACGGTCTTTTGTCTCTTGTTTATGTCGATTCCAGGCTGAAGAAACCTGTTGGTCAAATAAAAATTCACTTTAAATTCAGATTGGGCTTTGGGATGAATATTTTTCAGGTAAACTGTGGAACAGAAAATGACCTCAAGTGACCAAAATCTGATTTATAGTGATTTTTAGCTTTTTTTTAAATTCACCAACAGGTTTCTTCAGGCTGGAAATCACACAATCTTGATGTTTATGATGAATTTTAACTATATCTTTGCATTTATTTGACATTTTTTACTCTGAAGTTGTTGAGTCCAGACCTGAATCCATCCAGAATCGGCAAAATTCGATTTTTCATGCTTTTATTGGGGTTTTTATAACGTGATTACCAACTTTTATTGCAGGAAATCCTCCTTATTTGCCCCCACGTGAGCCGTAGAGGGGCGTTTGTGGTCAGATGCGGCCCTCTGGTGTCCGAGCTGCGCCCCTGCAGCTCCAAATACTCCCATGAAGCACTTCCACACTACGTAGCCTTCCAGCCGATGTGGGATTTGGGCCGACAGCGACGTCTTTTTTCTTTTTTTTTTTTTTTCTGTTTGCAGGCTGAAAAAACGCCTCGGCGTCCGTAACCAGAGGGGTTTTAACTGTACCAGGGCAGCAGGATGAACGCGTAACTGATCTGCGGCGGACGGTTCGACTTTTGGATGGAGTTTGTTTCTTTAACCAAACTCTGAGGGGGATCGGAATTTACCGGTGACAAATCTGAGAGAGGGAAGAGAAGAAGAAGGGGAAAAAAGGAGGAAAGAGTGGATCAGGAACTTTGTTTTTAACGGCAAGGAAGGAAGGAAATAAGATTTAAAGAAGTAAAGAGAAACTTTTTTTTTTTTGCGCTCTGCGTAAAAATAAAGAAAAGCTCCGACCATGGCGAAAAAGTATGATTTCCTCTTCAAACTGCTGCTGATCGGGGACAGCGGAGTGGGCAAAACATGTCTGATCATCCGCTTTGCTGAGGACAACTTCAACTCCACGTATATCTCCACCATCGGTACGTGTCCGAGGCTTTCTGTGTGAATTATCTCCTGCGACATTTTCATTTCTGCACCAAACTTTACGCACGAACGTTCGCTGACATTTACGGATTCTTGTTTGTTGTCGGTTTTAAAAAACTGGTTTCTCAGGCTGATTTCATGCCCCAACTAGTCGCCCGTTTGTCCTTCTGTTTCTTTTCTCTTTTCTTTTTTTTATTTTTCCTGCTCCTGGTTGAATGTGAGCGCTGTCTCTCTCCCCCCCACCGTGACCCTCTCCCCCATCTCCCCCTCAGATCTCATTCCTCTCTGGGCGCTCAGAAGGTCCACCCACCCTCATTCCTATCTCTTTTAACATCTCCACGTTCCCAGAAGAATGGCTGGCTCTCTGGCATGCACGGTTTTCTGCTCCCTCCTCTGTCTGTCTGTCTGTCTGTCAGCTCGTCCGTCGAGGCGACCATGACAGTGACCAGTTTCCATCCCAGTGAGGCGGATTGATTCGTTTCTCTTCAGCTTATCTGACGCAGATATGTGAGATATGTTTGGAATGTGCAGAAAGTCATGAACATGAGCGAACGAAAGTCCGGCAGTTTGTACGTAAACTAACTATGATCCAAAAAAGTGACACAGACGCACTCAGAGAGGTTAAAATGAGTTCTCTACAAACTCTTTTGCTCTTTAGATGGTTCTCCTGCTGGAGTTTTCCTCTTCTTCATCTTATCAGCCAGTATTCTGGTTTATCCTCAGACATCCATCTATAAATGTCATCAACACCTTCTGCCCTCATGCAGCTCCATATCATGATGCTGCCACCTCCGCGCTTCACTGTCAGGACGATGCATCCACTGTGGTGGTCCTGGTCAGGTTCACACCAAACATCTGGACTCCATCTGAGCCCAACACATTGATCTCCATCTGACCAGAGAATGTTCTCCAGCATTCAACAACTGGATTTTCATGCCTTTTAACAAAACTTGCTTTTTGTACCAAACAGCAAGAACGAATGCGTTTCTCGTACCCCGTCCATAGAGGTTGATGTTCTTCACACTGTCTGAGCTTCACAGAAACTCAGATTTTCTTTATAAAACTCCTGAACCAAGTCTGAAGCAGCTGTCTGTGGAGTCATTGTAGGAGGACGACCACTGCAGCCCTGATCAGTGCCACTGTGGCTCCTTCTGGACCTCCTGCTTACTGCTGTGGTTCACTGATGTTTCCTTGATCTTCCTGGATCCGTTTCCATTTTTGTGAAGTCTAACTATCAGATGTTTCTCCTCCTCTGTCCAGTTCTTTTCCATGTGGAGCCATGATGCAGACATAGACCCAGCTCATAGGTCCAGAACTGAGGAGGTTCTGCTGTTGTCAGCTCATTTCAGAACCATGTTCATGCAGTTGGACTGGTTGGAAATCACAGCTGGACTCAGTTTAGTTTCAGTGATCAGGTGGTTTTCACTTTTGTTGCTTTATGTTTGTACGTTGGGGCCTGAATTGTTAAAATAAAAAAAAGTTTGTTTTTTGTTGTTTTTTTAAGAAACTACTCAAACTTACTACTGTTCAACTAAGAAATAATGCAGTGATTGCATATCGTTTTCTTTTACATAAATACAGACATTTTTACCATAAACTGGTGCAGAAAACTTCAGTAGATTGCAGGAAGCGGAGTGCTTGATGCTCCCAGACCTCCTTAAACCAAACCTATGGCGGTGCTGCTGTGTGTCGTTTCCTATAAAAGCTATTTCATCCGTTCTCTCTGCTCTCTCAGGCATCGACTTTAAGGTGAAAACCATCGAGGTGGACGGGAAGAAAGTGAAACTACAAGTCTGGTAAGACATGGCGGCGGCTTGCTTGTGCTTTGTGTTGCTGTTTGGTGAAGCAGATAACGCTGATTCATATCTTCTTCCTCTGACTCGTTTTCCTGAGAGGAAAGAGGAACCTCCCTGCTGTTGCCCAAATCAGGACTTCATCACACAGTTTATTGTTCAATCGTCCATCACACCAATTGGAAACAACCGCTTCATGGCATTTAATGCATCATTCTGCCACATCTCTGACTTTCCCTCCACTGGTCGTGTTTTAAAGAAGCTCAGAGATGCATGAGTGGACGTTGTTGACTCGTTTGTGCTCCGTGCAGGGACACAGCAGGTCAGGAGAGGTTCAAGACCATCACGACGGCCTACTACCGAGGAGCCATGGTGAGATAATCAGGACGCCGATAGTCAGGCCACTGCCGCCGAGCGCCTCCTTAAACCTCTGTGTGTGTTTCAGGGCATCATCCTGGTGTACGACATCACAGACGAGAAGTCCTTCGAAAACATCCAGAACTGGATGAAGAGCATCAAAGAGGTGAGAACATTTCCACACAGCCACAACACAGATAACAAGACATGTGCCAGAAAAAATATGTTAAAAAAACAGCCTGAATCTGTAATTTTAAAATCCTCATAAAGCGTTAAAAAGAAAGGAAAATATTAGTAAAATACAGATTTTTTTTTCTGATTTAAATACAATAAAACATTATCATTTGATAGTCATACATTGTTAAAAGTAATAATAATAAAAATTTAAATTACTATTTATTAAAAACACAAACTGCAGATTTAATAACAGTAAAAAAAAAAAAATACGATCAAACAGTGTAAAAGAATGAATTAATATTTATACATTAAAAAACAATCTGTGGGCATTAAATAATTCATCCTTTTTTTGGTAAAAATAAAAACATTTTTACTGTAATTTGACAGATTTTCCCTGTTTTATTAAATTACAGGTAATATCTGTTAAAATCACAAAGTTTTCTTTTAAAGTCATTTTGAAATGAAAAACATTTGTGAGAATTTAAATAGAGTTTAAAAAATAAGAGTAATTTTATGATCAAGAATGAATTCCTATTTATAAAAATACAGATTTTATGTGGATGTTATTTACAGTTTTTGTCTTTTTTATGGTTAACATATAAGTTTAACAAAACAGGAAAAATATGTCAGATACCAGCATTTCTTTTTTATTACCATTTTTTAGTCCTTAAAATACACAATTTTTCTTTAAAAAAAAAAAAAATCCCCAAATGTTTGATTTAATGTGGACATTGTTTACCGTTTTTATTACCCTGTTTGCTTGTTTTTTGCAGTTAACGTAAATTATTCTTTTCTGTCATTTTTATTAGATATTATCTGTAATTTAACAAAACGGGGGAAAAAAATATGAAAACATTATTTGTCAATTTTTTGCAATTGTTCTTTCAAATAAAGGCTAATTTTTATTAAACATTTTCTTTAAGTATTCAAGAATGATAAAAACTGTATAATTTAATGATCAAACACGATAAAACAATCAATTACTTTTCATAGAAATGCAGATTTTTGATGTGGAAATTATTTACAGTTTTACTGTCAACATTCAAAAAATTGTTTTTTGTAATTTTACTAAATTTTGTGTTTAAACTAACAAAACAAAATCTGTCAAATAACAAAAAACAATATTCACCATTTATCAATCCTTAATATCCACAGTTTTCTTTTAAATAATGGAAAATATTTGTAAAATAAAAATGAATATATAGTGTCTCATTTTATAATCACACTAATTATCATTTATAAGAATACAGATTTTTGATGTGGGTTTTATGGGGTTTTTTTTTATGGTTACCATGTAAATTAATACTTTTTTCTGTGATCTTACTGGATATTATCTGCAATTTAACCAAACAGGAGAAAAATTAGAATAACTGTAAAGTAAACTGACGACGTTATAATAAAAATAATAAAACACTAATTCGAGCTTTGAAGTTTTAAAAGCGAATGAAACAACTAAAACAAGAACAGGTAGAAGTAAAATGAGCTGAAATTCAAATCCTGCACTAACCTGAAGGATAACGTGAGTCCAGATTGTCCTGCAGGTTATTCCAGGTTGCACAGTGAATAAAAATGGATTTTCTGAGCTCAATAAAAACAAGGCCTGCAGTGTGACCCGGTCATGCAGTTAGACCGTGTTAAGGTGATGCATGGCTGTAAAAACCAGCCTTATAAGTAAATAAACTCCAGAGTTTATGAGGCCTTACAGAGAGACCGATCCACCCAACGTCAACACACAGCTCCCAGTGATGATTCCCGTCATTATCACCGGTAACAAACCTTAAAGCAGAGCGATAAGCGGCATCGACAGCCGAGCAGCGCAGGTGGAGAACAGCTGACTCACCTGCAGCTGACAAACTCACCTGTCTGAGCACAAGTCCACAGTGTGGCCCGCTGTCAGGTCCTGATGCTGTTTGATGCTTTCATTACCTCAGAGGAACGACTCCTGAACAACAAACTAAACTTCTGATTCGTTCCTGTTGAGTCTCATTAATCTGACCTGGTCCCGTCTCCGTCTCCGTTGCTGTGAAGTTA